ACAGCGCGAGGATCCAAGTTTTACGGTTTGTCTTTGCTACTTTCCTTTCTTGGTAGTGTATGCTTTTTTAGCACTCCAACGTGCTCCTAAATCTCGTTATCAACTTCACGTTTGGTGCCAATAAGTGTGTGTTCTTACCTTCTTAACGCAGTCTCTCTCAGGTAGTCGCAGTCGTTGGGTGCAGCGTAAAGGATACCAAACGTATCCAAACGTTTGCGCCCTAAATTGTGGTGGATAGTAGAACGGTTCATGAGTGAAGGATAATTCTGAAATCAGCTGGCTCTCCGTCTAACCGATGGGTAGTCGCAGGTCACGCAGCGGTACTGAATGCACACTTTTCCGCCCCATAACAAGAAGAAAAACCGTCAGGGCATTAGGCACTATTACCGTCATTAAATAAGGTTTCGTTCGCCGTACGGAAAGCATCAAAACTGTCCCATCCAATGCAATTCCTGTCGATTGAGTCACCGATTTTGCAAGACTGCAGAGAATAATGATCTAGCTGCTGTTGTTTGTCTCACCCATGCCCCGAGAGAACCAGTTCTGCTGCCCACTAACAGCTGTGTCAGCTGAATTATGCGAATTAAAAGGCATCTGGTGGTCTGATCGATAAGTCGAATTTTAGAGGCTTCGATCTTTGTAGAACTTTTCGACGGAGCCAAATTCTCACTGCCTCAGTTTTTATAGATGAAACTACAAGAATGTCTCTTGGACATCGTATAGTTTATATTACAAATATGGAGGAGCTATATTCGTTTCTTTCAGAAAGCCTCCGTTTAGAACGATTCCGTATTGTTTGCATTTGTTGACCACGGTCACATTAACTGCATTTGCATTCGAAAATTTCATCATAATCCGAAAGTAGTTTTGAACAAAAGGGCTTATTGAAAGCAAATGAGTAGTATATTGTATAGTTATAACAGTGCTCCCTTAGATGAGGTTTAGGGAGGCCTGACTGACATTTAACAGATGCAGTGTCTAGATGCCGTTTGAACAACCATACGGTGTGGAAATGCACCCCAAGTGGATACAGAAGTCCCCCTTATGTGTGATTATGCGAGAAGAAAACAAGAGTGTTGATTTACGTCGTTAAGATTCTTTTTCTTCGACGCCATTTCGAAAAGATTTTCCCAGTCCACATCGAAGTAAAGTCTCCTTGGCAACTTAACCGTTATTCTGTCTGAGCTTTCACCTGTGCCCTGCTCCTAAATTGTTTTTACTAAGGTTGACATTTTAATGTATCGTTAACCGCTTATGGTCGACATGTGTATTAGTGAACTCGCTAATTTTGCGTGGACGTGCTACAACTGGTTTGCACCATTAGATGCCTCTAATTAGAAAATCACTGGAATAGAGTACAGACAAAATTACAGACATTAATCCTATCATTTGGGTTCTCCATGAGTTCTAGTTTTTAAAATATTGCCGACGCACTACTGTTCGAACACGAAATTGTACACACACACCCTCCTCCTAAGCCACCACACTTCTGCTTCTTGTTAAAATGAGTTAACAGCCATGCAGCTCGACATAACTCTGTTTAACTGGTCTCGATTCCTTTCTGATTCCTAGATTACGGTCCACTATTCCAAACGGACCTTTATTGGTTTCTTCTAATTAGGTTCTTCTTTTATCCTTCGAAGTTCCAAGTCCGGCTGCTGGTCTGCCTTCGTGGCTCTGCATTAAACACTACCCTCGTCTCCAAACAAATGAACGTAAAGGCTGCCTTTCTTTGGAATCAAGCAATTTTTCCTGGAAAAGTGGCGGTAGACTGTTCAATTTCGCCCACTGGGCGATTTCCGCGGTAGTGCTTGTGCATAGCAACTTGTCCCCTGAACCTGTAAGTAAGGATAGCTGTGATAAATTTATTTTGACACCAGCTGATAGGCATCCTGAAGGAACTGTCAACAAGGCGGTGAACTCTCGAATCCGAACAGTCTGATGCGCATGACGTCACTATACGGGTGATTAACTGGAGCTTTTAGTGAAACCGCTCAGAGTGCAGCTAGCTGTTGGACTTCGTAATCATCTCAGCAACTCTCGGTGTTTGTTGCATAAATCGCCATCCTGTTGGACCAAGTAGACAAAAGGCAGCCGTAGATGAGTATGCTATTCATTTTTTTCCGGATTTGTCACTGAAATGACTAGCGGTGTTATCCTTCATTTGCCTGAGTGGCCAGAACAAAAGGGGCTTTCATGAATGTCGTCGCACATAATCCTTCCTAAGTGGTCATTGTCTGTACTTTGATTGTTAAGCCAAAGGCACAAAACAGGTGGTTCATGAAGCGATGTCTACCCATCAGCTTGTCGGCCCTGTCAACGGACTTTTATGGAATGAATGAGATAATTCCTCTGCTCACTATCTGCTGCAGATACTGACAGTGTTTGCGTTTTTGGATAATATCCACTGCGGTTGGCATTGTTGAGTGATCAGAATCAGTTGGTGTAAAATGTGGATGTAATATCACGAAAATGAATTCTGCACTTAGTCTAGGTGATAAAGGCGATGAGATAGGGATTTTGTTTGGTCGAGAGGTATCACTGAATGGTAGTTTTCCGCTAAACTACTTTCATTTTGACTACTTACAAATTAAGCGAGTGCCCCTGTGGGTGTCGCTGCGTTTGACACGACTCCTCTAAAGCATACGGAGATGGTTTGTTTCGACAGTTGTGGTCAGTGGACAGCCCGCACGGTACGCGCTCATCTTAGACATTGTCCTGTTCATTTTCCAGTATCATATTTAGTTTTCATTACTTTCATTACTTTCAACCACTGAGACTGTTTTCGCTTGCATATCGATGGAGATATCCTTATGCTGGGCATTAACTGCGATATGCATTGTGGCATTGGGGATCATTTGTATCAGAGTTTTTTTTCAAAGCACTATACCGGCTTCCATCGAGAGCAAGTAAACGCGCTGCCTCCCTCGACCGCTGGATTCTATTCACGCGTACTATTCTACACCTTTTTTGACTGGAGATTGAGGATTGCTGATACACTCACCTATCCGATGTTCATCTCGATACACAAGTCACTCAAGACCCAGACGTGGATCCCAAATTACCCTCATCGACAGCCCAAAATCATTCGCCTGTATGTCAGCCGCGTTACCCACTCTTTTCGGCGCGTTTCAGTTATGCGCGGGGAATTGTGGACGTAGAAATAATGGCACTTGTTTGTTCGAAAGCAATAACAAAAACCTAGATCTGCCTACCATGAAGGCCGAATCTTACGCTTATTCTAGTTTGTTTTTGTAACAATCGTCACCAAGACCGTCGTGACCGCCCAACTCTTTAATTTTCGGGCTGGTCGAAGTGCACGAACGCGATCAACTCAAGCAGGTTAATTTACAGCTGTTATGAAATGAGCGAAAAAAAGTCAACTGATGTAGTCCGGAAACATCCGCCGCTGATCGGACAGATTCTAATCGTCGACTTCCTCTATTTTGCCTCAGGGTGTTCCTTCGTGTGCGCGTGTGAGTCGCCATGGCTGCGTTCATTAGCTGTACACGAGACCAATTCCTAAATCCTGGTTGTGATACGTCAAGCAGGTTTACTGCAGCCGGAAAGGACGATTTGCCGGCTATATGTAACCCGACAAGCAGTGACAGATATATCGTGCATGTCTCTGAAGGGTTGGACTGGTCTGTAATTTTGCCAGTCAACTTACTTACACAGTACGAGATGCTTTTTTTTCGTTGTGCGAGTTTTTTCCAACTCACGGGCTGCCGTCAGACAGAATATGACGTTTACAATTATGGACTTCCCCAATCTGGTCTGACTATAAGAATATAAAACTACCTTCATGATGGTTGCAGTGGGAAATTGTTTTACAACTTATTTTGAGACTAGTTGCGACTTCCTTGCACTATCAAATTACCGCATAAGAGGGAAACAAAAACTATGCTTTACTCTGAATAACTTCTAATCCAAGTATAGGTTTTCGTCCTTGAAACGCCTATATTTGAGGGTAGGTCACACGAGACTTCGAAATGAAAACACGAAACGGAACCCGCTGCAAAAGGCGCTGCAAGTGCAGGAAGCAAATGGAGAACAAATCCATTTTTAATGCCGTTTTTAACATTTACTGACCTAAAAACGTTTTGTTTTTTCACGGCGACCACCACCAAAATAAAAAGTACTAATTGTTTGTTCAGAAAAATAACTTTTTCTCAGCAATGCTCAAGTTGCGCAAACTTGAGAAAATAGCTATAAATTAGAAGAATAAATTTAAATCTTATCATAAGTTGAATGGATAACTTTACTACTTTATTTATATCAAAAGAAAGTTTCCTTAGTTCCTATAGTCTAAACATATTGCCGCTATTCAATTGCAGTCACCTACAGATTGTTCTTTAATTTCCGGCAAATTTTCGACGATTTTCCGTGTTTTGGTTCGTGTCCCACGAAGTTGAAAGGTTAAAAGAAAATACATTCAACATTTTTTTCTGCATTTTATGGCAAAAAACTCCACACCTTGGCTAAAAATAACTTTCGAAAATGAAATCATTCCTTGATTCTGAAAGTAAATGCGCTTCCTAAAACTTGGCTTCACTTGCATTCGAGCAAGTTCGGACTACATTGCCCGGTTCCGGAAGTGATATCTTTCGAACTTTTCTTACTTATTTTGGGGTTTTCTTATAGCATAATGCATATTAATAAAAAGTCTGGCTTTCTCAGGATTAAACCCGCTCAGTGGATCGAAATAATTTGGCCAGATATATGCTAAACTAACAAGTCAAATTTCCTCATGACTTTTGCTTGCAGTCCTCGCCATATTTTACACTATGGAAAAATGAACAAGCATGTAATCGGAAGTTTTGACATCGATTTGTAATACCCTGACAACTTTTGTAAAAAACATGCATAAAACTGTTCCTTCTTGTATTCGCTTGATAGCACATTACATATTGTTAAAATCTTATCATGGCTGAAATGCATATTTCGGTTTTAAAGTTTCTAATTAGGAGATTACTAAGTATATGAAATCTTCACAAAACAATGTATCTTTCCATTTACCCATGCTGTTTGTTAAGCATTCGATATGGTCCATCTTCACAGTAAAACATTTACAAAAGCTGTATTACATCTCCTTACTAACGTATATAAAGGTTAAATTCTCCTTAGACGGAAAATGTACACATTTTTGTTCGAAAAACCCTGGGTGCAAGTGTAACGGCAGCTTAATTTCAAAATTATTTAGGAATTTAGAAAGATTTTACAGGTGAAAGATAAGGATTATTTGTGTATAAAATCTGAAAAAAGACGCGATTTTCTAACAATAGATCAAAATAAAATAATTTTAATACATACTTTCTGTGAAGTATATTTAAATTTATAAGGGCATCAAACATCAATGGAAAAACTTAATACTACTGAAGTAAGCATTTTTCATAGGGTTAAGTTTTTGAATCAGCCAGAAGAGAGGCTTGTTCGAAGGCGGCCATCTCGACATAACCTAAATATCTTGTAAACGTGCTATACGATAGTTCATATTACAACCCTATTTAAGTAGTTTTTTAATCGAAAAATATTTTAAAATTTTGGTTTAAGTTTCATGAAATCGAAACTCTACTGTGTATGTTTAGTTTTTTTGATTTTGTTAGGAAGTATCTGGTCTATTTATCTTATACCTTGACAGCGGAAAATGTCAGATGTAAAAAGTGGCCAACTTTAGCAAATAACCGCAAATGCAGTACACCTATCAAATATAGTTAACAAACACATTTTCTTTTTAAAATACACCGTAGCATATGTTTGTTCTCTAAACTCGGAAGTCCTGGCCGTTTGGGAATAGGACAGGGGATGTCAGGATTGACCTGCTGCTTGCAAAGAGGAATCTAAACGAGCAGCTGTGGCGGGGAATTTCCATTAAGCATATTAATTGATGAATTCTAAAGCTAGACTTGCTTGTAGTCCAAGCGTACTCCTGGAGAATATTTTGTGAATGATGCACCTCTTACTTACGCTTACAAAATTATTATTCATCCTGAAACTGCTGAACACAGGGCTGTTAATTTTTGCTCAACTTCCGCAACACCAGATA